AAAAAAAAAAAAAAAAAAAAAAAAAAACACAACTTGCCGGAGAACGGTTGTCTTCTCCGGTGGAGAAGGCGACCAGATCAGGTCGCCTTCTCCACTGGAGAGGGCGGCCAGATCTGGTCGTCCTCTCCACAGTCCTCTCCGGTGGAAAGGAGTGGAGAGGACGACCAGATCTGGCCGCCCTCTCCAGTGGAGAAGACGACCGGACTGGTCGTCCTCTCCACTGGAGAGGGCGGCCAGATCTGGTCGCCTTCTCCACTGGAGAGGACGACCGGACTGGTCGTCCTCTCCAATGGAGAAGGCGACCTGATCTGGTCGCCTTCTCCACCGGAGAAGACAACCGACGGTTGTCTTCTCCGGCAAGTTGTTTGTTTGTTTTTTTTTTTTTTTTTTTTGTCGCCGGAAATATCGCCGGAATTTTTTGACCGGTTATTCCAGGTGAAAAACCTGCTATTGGATTTATTTGACTCAAAATAACAAGTTGAAGGGCCTAATTGCACATTTTCAAAGTTGAAGGGCCTAATTGCTCTTTTGCCTATAGTTTAAGGGTCTATTTGACCCTTTTCCCCATATCTTATAATTATCATTGGACCCAAATAAAATACCCGAACCCAAATCTAACCTAGCCCAAATGATATTCCTACAATCGTTATGCTATCGACCTGTGTCCAGCATGCATGCTGGATACGGTAGTGGTGCCATTAATGACACCGTTCTCTTTCACTTTTAAAAAAAAAAAAAAAAATTCAGACCATTTTGTTATAAGAGTATATGTTCATAATTTTATCACTATATGTTCATAATTGTAAGTTCATAATGTCAGAGTTCTATGTTCATAATTGCATAATTGTACATTCATAATTGCATAACTGTATATTCATAATTCCGTAACTGTACATTCATAATTCAATAACTGTAAATTCATAATTTTCGAAACTCTATGTTCACAATTTTAGAGCTCTATGTTCATAATTTTATCACTATATGTTCATAATTGTAAGTTCATAATGTTAGAGCTCTGTGTTCATAATATCATAACTTACATTCATAATTCCATTACCAGGGCCGGATTTGGGGCTGTGCAAGCTGGGCTACCGCACAGGGCCCCCAGTTTTAGAGGGCCCCCAAATTTTAGAGGCCCAGTATAGTAGTATACCTAATATACCTCACAAATTAAAAAAAAAAATTCTGAGGAATAAACTGATCAGTTTTCTCCGTTAATTAAACAAAATTTTTTTTTTTTTTTACAATTAAACCGATCAGTTTTCTCCAACGTTAATTAAAATTTATGAAAGAATTAATTGAGTAATCAATAATGTTGTTTCCCGATGTTTCTTTGTCTTCTTTGCCGATTCATGATTGGCAGGGCCGTAGAGGATTGAGAGGAATAAGTTCAGAGATTCAGAGTTCAATTCATCTTAGTCTTCTACTCTTCTAGTCTTCTTCGACGTCCACACTTCTGCGTTTCCGGCAAAGGCTGCACACTCCACGAATTTCATCTTAGTCTTCTACTCTTCTTATTCTTCTAGTCTTCTTCGACAATTCTGCACGGATTCACGGAAATACGGAATCGGGAAGACTGGAAGCGGTGAAGTCTTCAATCTTAAACCTGGGCGTTTCCTCCTTATTTGCATCTTTGTTTTTAAATCATATATATCATTATTAGTTAATAGTTATCACGCCGGCAAGGCAATACGAACTCTGGACTCTGGACTTATTGGATTCTGCGCTTTTCTGGACTCTGGACTCTGGAGTTCTGGCTTCTTGCCTTCTTCCTTATGCGGTTCTGCCCCTTCTGGTCACTGACTCACTGGTAAGCAACTCAGCAATCATAATAAATTTATTCTGCGTTTTGTTTTAATCAATTTTTTTTTTGAAAAATTGTTTTAATCATTTTTTTTTTGAAAAATTGTTTTAATCAAATTTATTATGCATTTTGGCACTTTTTGCAAGTCTTGTTGTAGATATTATAGATTCTGTGGCGGTGTACTCGGTGTTGGCTTGTTACCGGGAGACGGGGAGAGGCGGGAGTGCTGCTGTGCTGGTCGGCGTGACGGCAGTAAGGCAGTAACCGACCAAGACAATAAACAAAAAATAAGGACTTTTCAATCAGGTTGTTTCAATCCTTTTTAACTTTAAATTTTTAATTTTTAATTTTATATGTTATATGTGTAATGTGATTGCTCCTTGCCTCTTTGTTAGAATATTGTTGTTTGATAACTTTGATTTCAATTGCTGAATCTGTGAATTGCATATTATGGCTCCCGGCATTAGGAAATATGAATCTGGTTATGAAAAACGTAAGAAACAAAAAAAAAATGAAGAGTTACAACAATTACAAAGAGGAGCATTAGATAAGTTTATAATTAAAACACCACAAATTTTTTCTGAAAATCCAAATGTTGGTGTTGATGTTGATAATGAAAACAATGTGGATAATCATGATACTAATGTTGAAAATGGTAACAATGTGCATATTAATATTGAAAATATTGATCAAGTAGAGAATGAAAAAATGAATAATTCACCCAACAATGATGATGATGCAGATGCTTTATATGAAACTAACAATTGTGATATTTTTGATCCAAGAAATTGGGATGGACTTGATTCGAAAATGATTGATTTATTAGTAATCAATGGTCCTAAGAGAGATAATTCTATTGTAAAAGGTCCTAAAGATAAGTTTTCTAGGCAATTTAATGCAAATTTGTATACTAGGGTCTTATCAAATGGCGAAAAATGTGATAGAGAATGGTTAGTTTACTCAAAAGAGCTTGATAGAGTTTTTTGTTTTTGTTGCAAAATCTTTAAAAATGGTATTGGTAGAGGTCAATTAACAAATGAAGGTTTCAATGATTGGGCTCATATTGGTGAAAGACTTAGAGAACATGAGACATGTATGGAGCATATTAAAAATATGACGACTTGGTATGATTTGCGTCAAAGGTTTAAGAAAAATCAAACCATTGACAAAGTTGCTCAAGGATTAATTAAAAAGGAGAAAGATCATTGGAAAAGAGTTTTGTTAAGAATTATTTCTTTTGTTAAGTTTCTTGGCAAACGTAATTTAGCCTTTCGGGGTACTAATGAAAAATTGTATCAAAATGGCAATGGAAATTTTTTAGGCTTAGTTGAGATGGTGGCCGAATTTGACCCTATTATCCAAGAACATGTTAGGCGTATTAAAAATGAAGAAATTTACTTTCATTATCTTGGTCATAGCATTCAAAATGAATTAATATCTTTGCTTGCTTCCTCGATGAAATCTGAAATATTAAAAAAAATAAAGCAAGCAAAATACTTTTCTGTAATACTTGATTGTACTCCTGATATTAGCCACAATGAACAAATGTCATTAATAATAAGATATGTTGATGTCTCTACACATCAAGTTAATATTGAGGAGTCTTTTTTAGGATTTTTGAATGTGAATGATTCAACTGGACTAGGTCTTTTTAGTACTTTGCAAAATGAATTGCATCTTCTTAATCTTAATATTTTTGATATACGTGGACAAGGTTATGATAATGGGTCAAATATGAAGGGTAAACATCAAGGTGTGCAAAAAAGACTTTTAGATGAAAATCCTAGAGCTTTTTATACTCCATGTGGTTGTCATAGTCTTAATTTAGTTTTATGTGATATGGCAAATGCTTGTAGTAAAGCAAAAGATTTTTTTGGAGTCATACAACGTATATATACAATTTTTGCAAAATCTACCAAGAGATGGGGTATTTTGAAAGATAATGTACATGGTTTAACTCTTAAGTCATTATCTTCCACTCGTTGGGAGAGTCGTGTTGAGAGTGTTCAAGCCATAAGATTTCAAATGGTAGAAATACGAGAGGCTTTACTCCAAGTTGCAGATGTTGATAGTGATTCCTTAGTAAGAAGTGAAGCTAAATCTCTAGCAACAAATGAACTTGGTGATTTTGAATTTTTGGTGGCTATAGTAATATGGTTTCATATATTGTATCGTATTAATTTTGTTAGCAAGTACTTGCAATCCAAAGACATGCTTATTGATGTTGCTTTCGAAAAAATTGAGGAATTGATTTCTTTTTTTGAGAAATATAGAGAAAGTGGTTTTAATGATGCCTTGGATTCTGCTAAGGAAATTGCTATTAAAATGGATATAGACCCCGTTTTTCCTAAGAGACGTGAAATCCGTAGAAAAAAACAATTCGATGAAAATTCAAATGCATCATTAGAAGTTTCATTATCTGCAGAAGATTCATTTAGAGTTAATTATTTTTTTTTCATTGTTGATCAAGCTGTTGTTTCTCTTAAAAGTAGGTTTGAGCAATTTCAAGAGTATGAGAAAATATTTGGTTTCTTGTTTAATTCTGACAGGTTAAGTTCTTTAGATGATATGAGTTTGAAGTCTTCCTGTAGTCGTCTTGAAAATTCTCTTAAGCATAATGGACATTCGGATATTAATGGAGATGAGTTGTATGTGGAGTTAAAACTAAGAAGAGAGTTGTATGTTAATGAAAAACTAGGACCCATTGAAATTTTGAAAGATTTGGAATTGTTTGATTGTTATCCTAATGCAGTTATTGCATACAGAATTTTATTAACTATTCCTGTTACTGTTGCATCTGCAGAAAGAAGTTTTTCCAAGTTGAAATTGTTGAAGTCCTACTTACGCTCTACAATGTCACAAGAACGGCTTAACGGATTAGCAATGATATCTATTGAAAATGATCTTTTGGATAAAGTAGATTATGAAGAGTTGATTGATGAATTTGCATCAAAGAATGCTAGAAGAACATCTGTTTTTAAATAAAAGATCTCTAATTTGCATTATGTTAGAATTTTATTTATAATAAATAAAGTTGTTTGAATTTTTCTTCTTTATATTGAAAATCATATATAAATAAAAATCATATATTTAACGATATTGATTTTAAATATTGCGCTTATACTTTTGATAGAGACCGTAGGGCCTCATTTATTTAGGAGCACAGGGCCACAAAAAACTAAAAAACGGCACTGGTCAACTCCTTTCCAATTTACCTTGCCAGTTCCATCTATAATCAAATATTAATGAATGAGTGCAAATTAAATTACATACACAAATGCATATACAAATTATATTTATTGGTTAAAATGTATTTTTTTTTTTAAAAAAAAAAACCCATACTTCGGAATATCCTGGTCCATGAGATTGAGAAACGGTAGGCATCAAAGTTCAGCTTCACCAGCAGATCAATATCTTTCTGTGTCCATACAATAATAATATTATTATCATAGAAGCTTAAGAACTGGCAGAATACTTTTGATAGGTCAAAGCAAACATAAAAATATTTGGCAGTTCAAAAATAAAAACTTGTTATCTGTAATACACCATCTTATGTTATGAAACAAGTAAGGAAATAAAAAATAAAACACATTGCAATCTAATCTGTCATAAGTACTTTGTAATGATGGTACTGATCCACAGCCACATCTCCCGTGGCATTATTAGGCTCAAGTCCTGTACAAAATCAAATCACATGCTTTAGTTTCATTGAAATAATTACTACAATCAGAAAGCAATAAATCACTGCTGGAAATTTCGCTATTTCCGTCCAACAGAAATTAGACGGAAAACGAGAGTTATTGGTCGGAAAACGGGTTTCCGTCCAACATTCTGACCAAAACGTGATCCCGGAAAATTGAACACCGGTAATACCGTCCAACATCAGATGTTGGACAGAAATTCCGTCCAACCGGTCAAAGTTGGATAGAAATTCCGGATGTTAACCCACCATTTTAGAATGGAAATTTTCGTCCAACTTTGACCCGTTGGACGGAAATACCGACTAACCGTTCGTCGGAAAACTCATACGCTTTAATATCCAAAATTCCTTCCAACGGTTGGTCGGAAATTGTGACCAACAGTTGGTAGAAAAATCTATATTTATATAAATTATTTTTATTATTTTGATCTTGCTATAATTTTGTTTTACTTGTTGTCAGTAAATTCTATATCATCAACAAATTAATGTACACAATCTAAATTCAAAATGAAAATTTATTTAAATATCAAAAATATTTACAACAAAAAGATAGTATTGTGTTCATAAACATTTAAGCAATGCATTATTGCCATACACAAAAGAAGTCATAAAAACATAAAATACTTAATCTTCATCAGGAGGGGCTTGTGTTTCATCATTTTGTTTTCTTCCCTCATTTGTTGAATTTCTACCATCAATGCTGCATTTGAAGATCATGCTCCATGATTTAAGAAAACATGAAAGTGGCAAACTATCATGGTATTCTCAACCTTTGTTAAACATGAAAGTGGCAAACTACCATGGTATCCTGGAATATAGAAAAAGGTGAAAATAAATAAATAAATTCATCAGACTGACATTATAATGGACTTGCAAAAGTGCGCAAAACACCATCTTAAGTAAAGCCTCTGAACTAACATTTGGAAACTGTATATGCATATTCAGAATTATAAGATAAAGTGAAGATTGAGCTCAAGTAAGAAATCAGATCAAGACAATGTCATTACTCATTAGAAAATACTCCTGTTCACAACAAAAGCAAAGCAGATATGAATGTGAAACAATGTAGATATGAATGCACCTGAATTTCACCCTATCACCTTAACATACACACATTAATGCAATGATTGTTCTTGTGGATACTGAGTAACAATACTATCTCCCTTAATTGCTCCTAAGGTTCATTCAGAAGATAAGCTTAGAGGAGATATGAAGCCAATAACTTGAATGTGACAAACTAAATTCAGAGTTATTATTAACTTACCTTTCTAAAATGTTCAAGAGCCTCTATGCTGACTTTACATAGACCTGTATACACAAACCAACAGGAAAAACTAGCAGAAATTGCAGTCTGCAAGAAAATTAGGAAAATTACCACAAGATTTCAAATACTGCTGACGGTAATAACGTTACCGGTAATAATAATATAATAATGCTATAAGAGAGTAACAATAGTTGTATTGCCTTTTGTCTCAATATAGAAAGTACAGTGTGTCATTGCTAGCTGAGGGGAGCCCCATTTATACTTAGAGTCCTAACGGTAACAACATGGGATATAAATGGGGAGCCTAGCCTTTAACTCTCTCTCTCATCAATGGGGACTTCAATGCTGGCTTCAATGGTAGTAAAGTGACACCAGTTGGAATTCCTGACCGTTGGAGTTCTGCCCGTTGGGTTCCCATGTGATGCTGAGTCAATGCCCATTTGTGATCCGGGTCGGGTGCCAGCCCTATTATCCTGTCACCAGTCCCCCCTACTCATGAGTCAACGGATGTGTTTGAGTTGACTTGGGAGTAAAGCTGAATCTATTTTGATCTTGTGTAGAATTCTCTTGATTTAGGATATTTTATTTGATCCTGTGTAGAATTCTGCTTAATTTAGGATATTTGGTTTTGTTTTCCAAATCCCTAACTTGCCTTCCAAATCCCTGATTTGTGCTTTCCCAATCCTTTCCTGCTTCACTTAACTTTTTTATCTCAAGCTCCTCTCTAATATAAACCCCTGTCTCTCTGAGCAATTTGAGAGCACTTCTTCAACAACTTTTTGCCACAGTTCTGTAAGTCGTCGCTGTCATTATTATTTTGCAATTTGTTTTACAACGTATTTATGTATGTATGAATATACTTGCTCCCATTTTTTTTTTCGGGGCCGAGGTGTGTGCCTCGGCCACTTGGCCGAGGCGTGTGCCTCGGCCTTTTTTTTTTTTTTTTTTGATCGGGGCTGAGGCGAGGCATGCGCCTCGGCCGCTTGGCCGAGGCGTGTGCCTCGGCCTCTTTTTCTTTTTTTTCTTTTTTTTTCTTTTTTTTTTTTTGACACGCTCTTTTCCTGACAGGCAGTTTTTGTACTCAAGTCATTGGTGCTTTCATTGAGAGCCTGAGTCCAATACTCAAGCAAGGTACAACACAACTCTTTCTCTTTCAACAGCAGGCTTGAAAGAATGGCGTCCCGCAGCTCCCACGGTTCTCGCAACGTGAACAATGGCAACGCCTCAGGTGACCTCCGTGACCTACTCACCAACAATCGCGGAGGGGACCTCCGAGAACATCTCAACAACGGGAGGCCCGGGGACCTTCAAGATCAACTCAACAATGGAGGAGACCTTCGAGACCAACTCAACAATGGAGGAGACCTCCGAGACCAACCCCACAATGGAGGGGCGAACCAAGTCATGAGCCTCCAAGCAACCATTCAGCAAGCAATGACGGCGGCACTAAACCTAGTGGCGGTGGGACTGCAAGGCCAAGTTCCCCCGCCGCGGCCTCGGGAAATAGAGGTAGAATCCCCACGGAGAGTGAATGCCCAGGACGCAACCCGTGCCGCGAGGGACGCAGGGCGTTGCACTAGGACTGGAGGCCCGGGAGAGAGCACCCAAAGAAGCGGACCGGCCGGACGGCAACCTAGGCCCTCCCGCTCTGCCTTAGAACGGTTGGGACACGGGACGCCCGCTCGGCAAAGGCCGGAATCGCGTGCCGAGGGGTCTTCCGCTAGAGGCCCTCGCCGACACGAGGAAAGAGAAGCTGAAAGATCGCCCACAGAAAGGAAGGGTGAGTCTCGTGGGCCGGCCCCACGCCGGCACGATGACGAGTCGGCCCCGCGTCGACACTTGGATGAGCGACGCTTCGATGAACCGGCCCCGCGTCGGTACTCGGCGGAGCGACGCGTCGATGAACCGGCTCCGCGTCGGCACTCGGCGGGCGAACGACGCGTTGGTGAGCGAGTTCCACACCGACACCTACAGGGACGAAACGTCGAGGAACCAGCTCCGCGTCAACACTCAGATGGACAGCGCGCCGATGAACTAGCCCCACACATGTAGGAGCGGCATCCGGCCCCGCGCCGGCACCCTGACGAGTCGGCCCTAGTCGAAAGGCTGCAAAGAAGGACCGAGGAGCTAGCAAGAAGGGTGGAGGCACGGGAGCAGTCCCCGGAACCTGAGGTACGAATGGCAGCACCATTCTCACCAAGTATCATGGACGTACCTCTGCCGAGGGACTTCAGGTTACCCGCCATCAAGGCGTACACGGGGGCCACGGACCCACGTGTCCACATGACTAGGTACAAGGCCGCTATGGTAATGATTGGGGCAGGGGACGCCATCATGTGCCGAGCATTTTTGTCCACCCTGGATGGAACGGCCCAAGATTGGTTCAACACCATCCCGGACGGGTCGATCCAAAACTTCGGAGAGTTGTCCAAAAGCTTCCTAACGTACTTCTCGGGTAGCATACAGCGTAAGAAACCGTTCTCTCACCTCTGTGTGGTAAAGCAAGATAGAGGCGAGAGCCTCAAAGACTTCCTGATCAAGTGGAAAAAGGAAGTCAATAATGTCTACGACTTCGACTCCAAGGCGGCGATCCCGATATTCATCCACGCCTTGAGATCGGGGTATTTTCACAAGCAGCTGAACGCCCACCACCCCCGTTCTTACGAAGATTTGATGAGGACGGCTAGCCGCTATGCCGATGCAGAGGACGTCGACAGGAAAAAGAAAGATGAGGAGGACGGCAGGAAAAACGGGAAACCTGGGAAAGCTGGTCCGTCCAGCCAAGCAATGCGTTCGAACCACCCGGCCGCAGGGAAAGGCCGGGACCATGAACGGCCTCGCCTGGTTCCCCTGCGTAACCTAACTCCTCTTACCCATCCCGTCAGCGTCATCCTAAAACAGGCTGAGGAGATGGGAATAGTCGAGTTCCCACCAGAGTGCATGAAGGTCTCCCCAAAAGGAGACCAAGCAAAGTACTGCAGGTTCCATAGGCAACCCGGGCACGACACGGATGAATGTAACGTGCTGAAGAGACAAGTAGAAGAACTCATCCAGCAGGGCTACTTCCGGCATTTCGTCAAGCGATCCAAGCAGCAGCAACAGCCGCAGCGCGATCCATCAAAAAATCCACCAAAAAATGTCTAGAGGAAAGAGGATGGCGCCGAGCCGTCCACCTCGAACGCCAAGAAAAGAGAACATGACCAAATATCTGAGCAGGATGATAGCGAAAAGGAAACCGAGGTGGCGCCCAGGCGACAAAAGAAGCACACCATACACTTTATCTATGGTGGACCTGCAGGGGGCGACACACCCACAGAGAGGAAGAAGTGGAGCAGACAGTTGTACGTGGGAGAAGTGGTAAGTCTTCCCAAAGGAAAGAAGCAGAGGCGGGAGGCCATCACTTTCTCTGACGAGGACCTCCCCGAGGGCCCCTTACCCCATCGCGATGCACTTGTGATCAAGATGGATATCAATGACACGATCGTACATCGCATCTTGGTCGACACGGGAAGCTCGGTTAATGTGATGTACTATGACGCTTTCACCAAGTTAGAGCTACCTAGAAGCCAGCTCAAAGAGGTACGAACTCCACTCTCTGGGTTTACTGGGGATTCGGTGGAAACAGAAGGGTCGGTGACCCTGCCCGTGGAAATAGGCACGAGCCCCAACATTCCAAAGCTGGACATGGAGTTCATCGTGGTAAGACTCACCTGCGCGCACAACATCATACTCGGGAGGCCGGCACTGGAAGACCTCAAGGCCATAGTATCAGTGGAACACTTGTGTATGAAGTTCCCCACTCCGAATGGAATAGGAGTCGTCAGAGGTGATCGACGGGCAGCCCGCAGTTGCTACGTGAAGGCATGCAAGAAGATTGGCAGTAAGGACCTACAGGTCCACACGATCGCGGAGAAAATTTTCAAAGAAGAAGAGGCCTGGCCCCGCGCCGAGCCCGTGTCAGAGACGGAAGATATAGTTCTGGATCCATCCAGACCAGACCGAGTGGTGAAGATCGGCACAGGCTTAAGCCCAGAGCTAAGGGCCCAGATAGTGGATGTAATCCGCCGTTCTCACACGGTGTTCGCATGGGGGCCAGAGGACATGCCGGGTATAGATCGAAGGATCATAACCCACAAGCTCGCAGTCGATCCCAGCGGGAAACCAGTGCATCAGCGAAAAAGGTATATGTCGGCAGAACGAAGAGAGTTCGTGAAAAAAGGAGGTGACCGCATTACTCAACGTAGGACACATCAAGGAGATTTACTACCCACAGTGGCTGAGCAACGTAGTCTTGGCTCCCAAAGGATCAACATGGAGGATGTGCGTGGACTACACGGACCTGAATAGGGCATGCCCCATGGACCGCTTTCCACTACCCAATATAGATCAATTGGTGGATGAGACGGCAGGATGTGAACTCATGAGCTTCATGGACGCCTTCCGTGGGTACCATCAGATATCCATGCATGAGGAGGACACAGAGAAGACCGCTTTCACCACTCCCGAGGGGATATTCTGCTACGTGGTCATGCCATTCGGACTGAAGAATGCCGTGGCCACATACACCCGTATGGTGGCAAAGCTGTTCAAGACAGTACTGGGACGAAACATGGAAGCATACGTGGACGACATGATCGTCAAAAGTCGTAAGGCCACCTCCCACGTCGAGGATCTCAATGAAAGCACCAATGACGGTAATAACGTTACCGGTAATAATAATATAATAATGCTATAAGAGAGTAACAATAGTTGTATTGCCTTTTGTCTCAGTATAGAAAGTACAGTGTGTCATTGATAGCTGAGGGGAGCCCCATTTATACTTAGAGTCCTAACGGTAACAACATGGGATATAAATGGGGAGCCTAGCCTTTCACTCTCTCTCATCAATGGGGACTTCAATGCTGGCTTCAATCGTAGTAAAGTGGCACCTGTTGGAATTCCTGACCGTTGGAGTTCTGCCCGTTGGGTTCCCATGTGATGCTGAGTCAATGCCCATTTGTGATCCGGGTCGGGTGCCAGCCCTATTATCCTGTCAACTGCATTTCAATTTTTTTTTATATAAAAAAACCTCCAATCTTTGATGGCCTAAAGAGACATGCAGCACAGTGGCACCACCGCGCCAGGGGTTTGAAATAGTAGTGATAGATGGCGGAAGTGGCAGCAGCAGGTGTTGATACACTTAAGAACTGCACAGAGGATTTGATACACAACATAAGGATTTGATACACTACATAGGAAAAATGCAGGTGAACTTCTCAGCAAGGTGAACTTCTTAAGTGCACCTCTGTGCAGTTCTTAAGTGCAGGTGAACTTCTCAGCAAATGTAAGGCAGAGGCAGAGGGGCAGCGGTCCGAGTTGACGCAAATACCGAGAAGCTAATAAAAGATCAAAGATTACACTTTAATGTATATCAACTATCAAGCTAATGTATACCGACTTTTTTGTCATGCACTTAAGAACTGCACAGAGGATTTGATACACTACATAGGGGAAATTAATTAGAACATTACGAACATTATCAATCTAAAATATGCTTAACTAAGATACTCTTTTAACAGCAGTGTACTCATAAATGAAATGAAATAACATTACGATCATCAAAGCAATATGAGAACATTTAGATGAGTTCTTTAAAATTAATTGGAACACTGTATTCAACAAAATGAACCTAAGAACTCAAATATAAACACAGGAAGCTAAGAACATTTAGATGTGTAAGAAGAAACTAAAAAACGTATAATGTATATCAACTATCAAGCTAATAAAAGATTAAAGAACCCACTTAGAGCTGGCTTACACACTCATAAACTGCAAGTGTGCAATATCCCAAAATCAAACAGATCTTCAAAAAAGTGACCAATAACATTTCAAACACAAAGCAACATGATTGTGTTGATTTTGCTAATTAACAAAACATTCAAAGAATGTAAGGAAGGAAGCATACCTGCCCAAGGTGAATGAGTAAAACCAGTATGTACTTCTTGTATGCTTCAACAACAATAGCATTTAAAGTGGACACAGGAGCTGTTACAACCTAAAGGACAAACATAATATGAACTTAAATTGATTTCACAAATTAAGACAAACAGTAAAAGGACAAAGTGTATAAAGAAAAGACATATAGGGCCTTCTCCCAGTCCTTTACTCCTGAATTAAATTTTATCAACTAAGAGCTGTGCAATAGAATTTGAATCACAAAAATAATTAACAATAAAAAAGTTGTATAATTTTGCAAAAGCTCCAAAGATTTAAGAAATTGCTTAGTAATTTAGAGCTTAATGAAATTAGGATTTTGGGATAAATGAAATTAGGAATTTAGAGATTAGGGTTTAGGATTTAGAGTAATAGAACCTGCGGACAGCGACGACGGAGACCCAGGTGTGGCGTGCGGTGCTGTTGGCGACGACCTCAGGCGACGAAGACAGAGTTGGTGGAGAAACGGTGGGAAACGGCGGCTTTTGGCGACGGATTTGGTGCGGGAACGGCATGTCTGAGCAGCAGGAAGAGGTGGGAGCAGAACTGAGTCTCGCCAAAGGCTTTAGCGTTTGAGCGAAATTTTGTGAAATCTCAATTTTCGACCACCAAAAGATTTCTAAAATATTGTAAGTATGAGTTGGGTGGAGACTTAAATATTCCAATTTCCGTCCAATAACAATGTTGGACGGTATTTAATAATACTTATTATTTTATATTTTACCGAGTCAGTTTGGTTTTCTGTCCAACGTGTAATCGTTGGTTAGAATTTTCGTGTAATATTTATTGTCGGTCGGAACTTCCGTCTAACACGTGAGAGTTGGACGGAAATTCCGTTCAACTTTCCGTCTACACCTATTTGCGATGAAAAGTTGTAATTTTTTGTAAATTACCGACCAACATTATTGTTGGACGGAAATGTTGGACGGAAATGTTGGACGGAAATAGCGAAATTTCCAGCAGTGAATTGTATTACTAAAACTATATCAGAGAACAAATTAAAAGAATATATTTATTACCAGGAGTTTTAATGAAAGTGTTCCAAATACTAGGTCCACGACCATACTTATGAATGTCAGTGGCACCTTCGACTTGGTAAGCCGAGATGGCTGTGCCGAAAACAAACCCTGCCGGAAAGCTCTTTCTGCTCAGCCCACCCTACAAAATCGTTGTATACTTGTAATTCTTGTTCTAGTCTGATTATGTTATTACAATTACACATATAACATATTGTATAGGAATCCTTGTGGTGGGGCGGTGGTGATATCGACTTCGGGTGATTTTGGCGGGTGGGAAGATGATTGTTTATGGACACCAAAATTACTTGCATGGTGCATTGGTTCCAAAGAAACAAGGAGAGTCGGACTCCTCTATACCGAATTCCTAAAAAAAAAAAAAGTATTTCGTGAACCACCCATTTGAACACTTTTGCAGAACACATTTGCAAAAAATCCGTGACTCTGGAGCAGCCTTAGAGCATCCACATCAATTGGGAAGAATGAGGGGATAATGTAAGAGTGATTAGGAAAGAGAATGTGGGAGGGGAGAGAAAAAAAGAAAAAAAAATAATAGAAAACTGATTTTAAAAACAAATAAAAATAAAAATAAAGCCTTTGTCAGGCGCGCTGACAGCGCTGTCAGCGCGCCTGACGCGCCACACGGGCGCGTGTAGTGCACGCGCCCGTGTGGCACTTGGCTGTGCGCAAACGCGCACAGCATCTGTGTTGTTATTTTTTTTTATTTTTTTTCTGACATTATTTTGTGTTTTGCAGGACAAATATCTCCTCAAATAACTCCACTCCACATTTGCTATTAACCCCACCCAACATAATTGTTATGACATTATCCCCATATTATCCACTAGTGTGGATGCTCTTAACTTTAGCAGCATTAAACCCACTTTTTCAGCCTTAACTTTTACCGCATACCCCAGTATTCAAACTTTCTCATTTACCAATACAACTTCTCATCTACCAATATTTACTTTTCTCTCTATAATTTATTTCATACTTCTTCCTAAACCCACACACACCCACATCTTCATCTTCAGAATATCTCTCTCTCCCTCCACATCTTCAGGCAAACAAAGGTAAATATTCCAAGTATTTTAAAATATAATAGAAGTGCATGCTATCATGAACAAATATTAGTTTCGGCTCAATGTCATGAATAATCTTTATCTTCATCTTCATATTCTAGGATACATCTCTTCAGATCTTCATATTCTAGGATACATCTCTTCAGATCTTCATCTTCAACACATTCTAACCAGGTAAGAACGAAAATATTTAATTTTTTTTTATAATGTTGAAGTAATAGATTTGTTATAAACATTTGGCTGGTAGAATAGATTTGTGATATATTATTTTTGTTTGGAAAAAATTAATTCGTAGTGTAGTATATTTGTGTATATTAGCATTCAAAAAATATTTGTGTATATTAGTGTAGTACATTTGAGAAAATTTACACGAAAAAAAGGGCAATTTATATCGTGCACTAGGACGCGTATTGCATTATGCGCCTTGATACAAAACGACGTTGTTTTAGATTTATTTATTTTTTTGAAATTTCGCTACCCGTGCTGGCGGTTAATTTTTTTTTTTTTTTAAATCTCAGGTTAAAAAATGTACATAATTTTATACTAGAATACACATAATTGTATACATGAATGTACATAATTGTATAACAAAATACACACATTTTTAAAAAAGATATTAAGCATAATCTATCATAATACATAATATACATAAATTTTTAACATAATACACATAAACTCTTAACATAATACACATAAATTTCATGTTTCGGATGTACATAATTGTATAAAAAAAAGTACATAATTGTATAAAAAAATGTACATAATTGTATAAACAAATACACATAATTGTATAAACAAATACACATAATCACGTCAACTCCCTACATAACTTACCAAAATGACATCGTTTTGGGATGCGCGGGGCGCACAGTGCTATGTGTGCCGCACCACGATTGAAAAAAACATCAAAGTCGGACTTCATAATTCCTACTTTAATGTTAAGTGCATAAACATCAAATTCAGACTTCGGTGAATCATAAACTAAATTACAAAAATGGTGTTTTTGGGATCAGTGGATACGAAAAATTCGTGCATGTGAAATTGGATACTGGAGAAGGAAATCCGACGTACTCCGACTTTCTGTGGAGTGGAATTCGGACACCAGTAGTCCGAATCTTCTTCTTCTTCTTCTTCTTTTTTTTTTTTTTTTTAACAATTTTGTTTGCGAAAATAAATGGAGTAAGGTAATAATAATAAATATGATTTAGCAATAATTAGGTTGTTTTGATTGAAAGTAAATAGCAATGATTATGAGTAATGATTTAAGAGTAATTACAAATTATATGAAAAATTTGGATAATTATAAATAGAAACAAAGTATTATTTTATTAATGATTCAAAGTTGGACAGTGCACGGAAGAATTGGTTGTCCTCCGAAAATCCTTACATTTTGTACTTCGATTTTTACCAAAGTCCATTTCATTTGGAAACCTACGTGTTCGCCGTTGGCCTCGTTGATTTCATGACCTAGCGGAAATTGGCGGAAGGCATGTAACTGAACTGGTCCACTGAGTTCTTTCGTCCACTGGGTAGAAGTTTCCGGCGTAACAGTTCATGTAGTTCTGTACGGGGAAAACTTCTGGCACTAATGGGGAAAATCCTTCCCCTCGGTAATTGCATGCTGCAATCGCATGTGCACATGGTATGCCGTTCAAGTTCCACAATCCGCAGTTACACGCAGTGGTGGATCCAGAAATATTCTTCAGTGGGGGAAAAATATTAAAACTAACAAGCGCGATATTTTAAAAAAAATGAAACACTTAGAAACCAAGTCATAAATATTGTTGACTAGAGATGAAAAATCAAAATACATCAAGATAAAAAAATATTTAAAATAAAATATAAAACATAATTAATTAGATAAAATAGTTTGAATGGAAAACACATTATAAATCACTCATCTAACTATTAATATTAAAAAAGAAAAAAGAGAAGAAATCACAATGTTACAAATAAAAAATCCAATTAGAATTATCACTATTAATATTAAAAAAATTCCAAAAACAAAAATTCATTCATCTCACTAATAATATTAAAAAATGATCTCACTAATAATATTAAAAAATGAAAGCTATTTAAAAATTGAAAAACCAAATTCAACACTGCAGGTTTCAAACTATGGACCATTATGTATTACACCAATAGTTTTGCCATCTAAACCAAAGCAACCTTTAGTTAATGTTTGGTATATATATATATATTATATATTGGGTGGGTGAGTGGAGGCAACAGCCCCCACTGCCCCATTGTGGCTCTGCCACTGGTTACACGTACGTTCCGTCTACTTAACTTGAAAATGATTTTGTTGGCTTAGAGAGATATAACCAATTAACCAGTACTTAGGGCAACACCATAGAGCCTGAGTGTGTCATTAAACTGTTGAATGTTTGCACCGCGTGCTTCATTGTTTCAAGCGACAAATCATCCGTAATCTTCGGCGTGAAATGCAGTCCGTGTTGCAGCATCCCATCTCCCGCAGTACGCCTGTCGGCAAACATAGTCCGTAACTTGTGAAAAGTCATTCGTACTATTGCCATGGCAGGTAACGTCCGACAACACTTAAGTGAGTTATTAAGTGACTCAGATGGATTGGTTGTCATGATGCCGTACCGGTGACCATCGTTGTGAGATAATGTCCACTTCTCTTCGTCAATGTCGGCAAGATAGGCGTATGCAGCCGGTCATTTAAGTTGGATGGTCTGCATGTGTTGAAGGAATTGATTCCATGTTACAGCAGTACCAGCTTCCCATATTAATTTCCTTAACCGCCTATTTCTGGTCACCTTCGTCAAGACATTGCTGCGAATGTGACGAAGGCAAAACCAGCGTTTCACACGACTGCCCTTCAATTCTTCCACGGAATTAAACGCCGCCTCTATTCCACCGTGTCTATCTGAAATGATGCACATTGAATTGTGATGTGGAAAGACATGTATGGCCAGAACTCGTAGAAATCAACTCCATCTGACATTATTTTTAGAGTTAACGATTGAATATGCTAGTGGATAGATTTCCTTGTTGGCAGCGTATCCGCAGGCTAGTAGGAGATGGTCTTTGTACTGGTTTTACAAGTGGTTACCGTTAACACAAATAACAGGGATGCAGTAGCGAAAGCCATCAATTGCAGGATTGAAAGCCCAGAATGCATACAAGAAATGCAGGTACCCTGTACTCTTTCTTCGGAAGGCCTGCACATCAATTCCACAATGGTTCCAGGGTTGGAGAGTTGCAACTTTCGGCAGAATTGGGGTAGCTCATTGTACGAGTGTTGGTAATTCCCGTACTGCATTTCAATGCATTTGTGTCTGGTGTACCATGTTTTCCTGTACGAAATGTCCACACCATATTATTGTCTCACATCGACTTGGATGTGCTTTATTTTGTATTGTGGATCCACAGTGATCTTCTGAAAGATTAAATCACATATTAATGAGCTGGTGCACAGTTTGTCCACGAGTCCCTGGTTGTATTAAACTGTGCACCCGTGGGGTTGAAAGAAT